AGAGCGCCTCGACCTTGCGAAGCGCATCCTGTTGTTCTTTGCTGGCCTCTGCTGCCGCTGCTGCCGTTTTTTGCTGCACTTGCTGCAGCTGCTGCAGCTGCATCTCGTAGTGTTCCCTGTCTTCTGCGGCACGGGCTTTTTCAGTTTTTAGGTCGTCCGTAGCTTTGGTGGTTGCGGCAAGGGCAGCCCTCAGTTGCTGCTGCTGCTGCTCTATTCGCTGCTGTAGCAGTTCCTGCTGAGCTGCAGCAGTCTGCTGCTGCTGCTCCAGCTGAGCCTCTGCAGCGGCCGTTTCCTGAATGCGCTTTTCCAGCTGCTGCTCCTGCTGCACTTGCTGCTGCTGCAGTTCCTGCAGCTGCTGGCGCAGCTGGCGCAGGGTCTCCTGCCGCTCCTCCTGCTGCTGCTTGCTTTTGGTAAGAAGAGATCGATTGGCTTGCTTCAACGCACGCAGCTCCTCCAGCTGCTGCTGCGCTTGCTGCTGCTGCTGCTGCTGCTCCTCGCTGCTGCGCCGATGCGCCGTCTCTAGCTGCTTGATCTGCGCATACAGCAGGCACAGACACAGCACGTTTCCCAGGAGAAGCAGCTCAGACGGCATCGAGCCGATCATGCTAGGAGAAGGTAGAAGAAAGCAGCGTCCCGCCCACACAAGGCACCATCAGGTCTTCGACCGTTCGCATGTATTCGACTGCAGCATGCAGGACGGAGGGAGAGGGTCCAAGCCGGCGCCTCCTTCCATGAACCCTTCAGAAAAATGCACGCTGCCTTCACAGCAGCTTCTTGTTTAGAATGCTATACACACGTATGCCCCTAACTGTGAGTGATAAAGCCGTACATGCAGGTATACGCATACAGATGCTTCCATAGATGTATGCACGGCCGCAGTTTTCTAGAAGGCACTCGAAGCAAAAACGGCTCAAGAACCCAGTATACGCTTCTCGATGCCGAATGCACAACATAGTCATAGAAGCCATACACATACAAAGCCCAAAACAAAGACTCTGCATGGAAGCCTCTCCGAACGTCTAAACAGAGCAGTTCTGCTAGCGGCTGCACAGCATACGACACGCGGTCCGACGTGCGCAATCGCAGCCATCATCAAATGCCGTTAGGTGAAGCTGCACTGGGCTGCTTCTGACCGATGCTTTATTAGGAGAAGCACTAGAAACGATATATTTAGTCTGAGCGAAGAAAGAACTGTATTCTGCTGGCGTAGCAGTGCATGCCGTGCTCCTTCCCTCCCTCCTCCCACCCCCCGAAGCAACGTAAATTTCAGGAGTGGTGCTCTTAGGAGGCTTGTGTATTACAGCTGAAGGCCACAGTTCGGCAAGAAGGGGAATTATTAAAAGGCGTCTTGCCTGCTCAGAGAGATCCTGCCGCTTCTTGTTAAGGCTGCGATTGCGCTCGTTCAGCTCCTTGGTGCGGTCTGCAAGTTCTTTGTTTTCCTAAGGCACGAGCCGCCGAAAAAAGCAGCCCAGACTGCATATCAAGACCTTTTGAAAGAAGCCAGAAATACTTAGCGAGACGGCTAGCAGTGCTACGCAGGCATTTTTAATTACCTGTTTGAGCTTGTTATTGGTGTCCATGAGCTGCTTGTGCAGGTCCTCTGCCTCAGTTTTGTACGCTGCCGCAGCGTGCTGAGTCTTCTTGAGCTCCTTCTCTGCAGCGGCGGCCGCT